TTTATTTTTTTTCGTTGGACACAATATCTTTATTTTTATTTATATGTGGTGCTGAGGATCGAACCCAGGGCCTCATACATGCCGGGCAAGCACGTTTCCACTGAGCCACAACCCCAGCCTCAAATATTTTATTTTTGAAATAACTTAAGATACACACAAACACTGAATTATCTCAGACTACACCTGATTTATGCAATATGATATTCACACTCATTGAAGATCTACAGTGAAAGATTCTGTGTGAATAAAAGGAGCACCAATATTTATATGGAGCTTATAATATGACTTTTTTTTTTTCTCATACCGGGGATTGAACTCAGGGGCATTCAACCACTGAGTCAAATCCCCAGCCCTATTTTGTATTTTTTATTTAGAGACAGGGTCTTACTGAGTTGCTTAGTGCCTCACCATTGTTGAGGCTGGCTTTGAACTCATGATCCTCTTGTTTCAGCTAGGATTACAGGTGTGTACCACTGCACCCAGCACAATATGACTTTAACACACATACTCTGTTTATGACATACCAATTCTATTATAAACTATACTAATTATACTATGAAGCTATAGTTAAACAAAATGCATGCTAGCATAAGACAAATAGATCAATGAAACAGAAATATTTATAATAAACCCATGTCTTATGGAGATTTGGTTTATAACAAAGGCAGCATTTCAAAATAATGGGGAAAAGATGAACTAACCACAAAATCAAATGAAAAATATTAATAAATTTGAAATAATAATTTTAAAATTTTGTTCAATGAAAAAAGAAGACAATTTGGGGCTGGAGTTGTAGCTCAGCAGTAGAGTGCTCGCCTAGCACATGTGAGGCCCTGGGTTCAATCCTCAGCACCACATAAAAATAAGTAAATAAAATAAAGGCATTGTGTCCAACTACACCTAAAAAATAAATATTTTTTTAAAAAGGAGACCATTTTACATTGAGAAAAAGTATTTGCAACATAACAGGCAAATGATTGATATTAAAATATATAAAGAACACCCACAGGGCTGGGGTTGTGGCTTAGCGGTAGAGTGCTTGCCTAGCATGTGTGAGGCCCTAGGTTCGATCCTCAGTACCAAATAAAAATAAATAAATAAAGGTATTGTGTCCAACTACAACTAAAAAATAAATAAATAAAAAGAACACCCACAAAGCAACAAGAAAAATAAGTCAAATGGGCAAAATCAAAATTAACAAGCATTTCACAAAAGAAAATGAAATGACCAAATATGAGACTTGCAACTTCTCTAATAACAACAGTAATAATATTAGCCAACACATAATGCTTACTATGCATCAAGTGCTTTTCAAAATGCTTTAGGTATCAACTCATTTAATCTCACAACAGCCCCAGAGTCAGGTCCTAGTATCATTTCTATTTTATACATGAGGAAACTGAGGCAGAGGTTTAAGGAAATTGTGTAGGGACACACAACTAGGAGTGCGGACTAGAATTCTAATGTAGACGATACAGCTTCCTGACCTAGTTTTTTTTTGTTTTGGGGTACTGCGGATTGAGCCCAGACATGCTCTACCACATTTTTACTTTGAGACAGGGTCTCATTGAATTGCCAAGGCTAGCCTCAAACTTGCAATCTCCTGCCTCAGCCTCTTGAATTGCTGGTATTACAGGTATGTTGTAAACTCCAGTATAGCTTTTAACCACTATACCATACTCTCTAGGGATCCAGGAAAATACAAATTAAAGCAAAATACCATTTGTTGTCCAAATTTGCAAAAATTTAAGATTCACATAGGAAATATGGAAAATTAAGGATTGTCAACATTGTTGGTGAGAGAACATAAGGGTATTTTCCCTTTTTTTAAAGTAACAAAAATGATTCTTACAGAAATAGGCACTCTAAGGTCTGGGGCTATAGCTCAGTAGTGGACTGCCTACCATGTGTGAGGCACTGAGTTTGATCCTTAGCACCAAATAATAAATAAATAAATAAAATAAAGGAATGCTGCCCATCTACAACTACAAAAATATATATATATTTTTTTAAAGAAACAGACACTCTGAAAGTTCATGTAAACCACATTTACCCAATAATGGGTGGACAATAATTGTGGTTTCTTACTAACACATTATTATTATTCCATGAAAGTAGGATCAAATCTTAAATGTTTCTGTTTGCCTCTTCTTTCTTAATCCTCAGACATCAACAAAGGCCACTGTATGATGGATGGGCAATCTCTTGTTCCCACACTTCTATATGCCTTGCTTCCCTTGTGCTTCAGGATTCAGTCAATTCAGGTCAAACTTTCTTGATGCACTAACACAATCATGGAATTGATTAATTCACCTTTCTTTCTAGTGGGCTAACAACAGGTCTGTTTTCTATTCTTTTTTCATATTTGCCCCTTAGCCTCTTTCTGAACAGGTTCAAGAGCCAAGATGGAAGGTAAGAAGTTCAAACTTTCCTTTTTTTGCCATGTTCAAAAACCTTTTGTTGTTAGCAGTGTGGGGTGGCAGATGCCTGTAATCGTGCAGCTCAGGAGGCTGAGGGAGGAGGATCAAAAGTTCAAAGCCAGTTTCAGCAACAGTGAAGTGCTAAGCAACTCAGTGAGATCCTGTCTCTAAATAAAATACAAAATAGGGCTGAGGATGTGGCTCATTGATTGAGTGCTCCTGAGTTCAATCCCTGGTAGCCCCCTCAAAAAAAAAATGTGTTGAAAACATTTCTTTTTTTTCAGTAATATATTACTTACAATTAAACAAAAATTTTGCTTCCGAAATTTCTCAATACTCCATAGTATCTAATTTACCGTTTATAGCATAATAAATAATTATATACATAACTTAACAATATGAACAACTTAAATAATATAAATAGCTTAAGGGAAAAATAAAATAAAATCATGCCATAGGGTGTGGATTTTTTTTTTTTTTTTTGGTACTGGGTATTGAGCCTAGGGGTGTTTTACCTTGGCTGACCTCGAACTTGGGATCCTCCTGCCTCGGCCTCCTGATTCACTGGGGTTACAGGCTTGTGCCACCTTACCTGGCATGCCATAGCTTTCTAACACTTTGGTTATCCTTATCTACTTAAAGGTTCTGTTATGAAGAGAAACAGAAAAGATACATGGGACTATGCAAAAGTCAGTAAACTTCACTACATTAAAGTACCGAAAGTTTATCACAAATATGACAGTCTATACAAAAATGATACACCTTTCAGTTTTTAAAAAAAGTATAGTGGGTCAGTTTTCATTTGTAATATTTCATTTGTACATCCTGTGTACACTTTTGCATTGTATCCTAAAATTTACTACCAACTTGGTTTTTGACATGACAAAGCAGTTAAAATTTCCTGGGGAGGAAACAGGCAGTTCAGAGAATAGTGCTTTACTAAACCTTTGCGGGGAGGAACCCTAAAGGGATGGCTGCATTTCACTAAGAGAGGAATTTAAGACCGGTCTATACTGTAGAGATGGGATGTAAGAAGAGATTAAGGTCGGCAGGAGATCGTAAAATTGGAATACACAAGATCGTATTTTTCTGTCGGCATCTTAGGGTGACAGACTAATACTCCATTGAAAAACAAAACTTCCTTGCTATATGAAGCAGAAGCAGGTTGCAAAAGCGGCACAACAGACCCGAGGCAATGATTTCCATATCCTACCACGTCCTACCTACCGGGTCTTCACCACTGGTGAAGCTGGACAGCTCCACCACAGCTAGCTGCAGCCACACCAATGCCAGCACGAAGTTCCCTTTACCAGAAGTCTCAGTGCAAACCAGAGTACAGGGCATCCCGCACACAAGCTCACCGTCCTCACTCATCTCGCTGGAACGAAAACTGAGCTGAGAGAAGCAGTGACCACCCAACGTCTCTAAAGGCCGAGAGAGTTAATAATTTCTCTGTCCCCACCTTCCTCGGCTACTACAGCCCTGCGAGACGCCACAAGTGAGGGAAAGAAGTTGGGGAAACAGACGGGGTGGAGTAGGGTGGGACTGACAGAGTTTAACGTAGCATTTTGCATCTGTCAAACACAAGGTCACTCGCTCAGAGTCACTTTTCCCTGCTCCCCCGTGGGCTTCCCGCCAAAGACGCTTCCAGTCTCCGAGGCCAGCTCGCCGCGCCCCCTCGGCCCGGGCCCTCGGGCCGCGGCCCCTCCCGGCTTCCGGGTCCCGGCCGGAGCTCCGAACCCAGCTGGCCTGCTGGACGCCGGTCTCCGACGCCGGAGCCTCTGCAGCCCGTCCCGGGACTCCTCCGTCTCCACCCCCTGAGGCTCCCGTCACCGTCCCCTTCCTCCCGCAGGTCGCCCCTGAGCCCGCCGCCCGCGCCGGGTCCCACTGGGGCCCGGGACGCCGTTCCTTTCCTGGCGGCTCTCGCTGCCCTTGTTTTCGGGTGCCCACCGGGCGCCCCCGCCCCGGCCGGTCTCCTCAGGGAGCGGCCGCCTCCCAAGTCCTCCCGGCCCCGCCCCGCTCCCGGGCGGATACAGTTTGAAGCCTCTCAGGATCTCCCTGGCCCGCTCGTCCTTGGCTGACATGATGCGGCGGCCGCCGCCCGCGGCTCTCCCACAGTAGCCGGCGGAGCCTCGCAGACCGTGCCCAGGAGTCGAGGAAGGAGCCGCAGCCGGGCCTGGAGACCTCAGGCAAGCAGCGGCAGCGGCCAGACACTGACCGGCCTCTCCCTCCCCCTCGCTCCCGCTCCTGATCCCTTCTCCTTCCCTCTAGCCTCGGAGCGCCCGCCCCGCAGCCAATGGAAAACCCGTCTCGGCGATTGGCATCCTGGCCAGCCAATAGAAACGTTCAGCGGCTTCGCAGGGGGACGGAGAGCGTCAATGGGAAAGGCCCTCCCCAAGAAGTCCCGTAGGACAAAAATTTCATTCGATGTTGTTGCCTAGAGTTTGTCCCAGCGGAGGGTTGGCTTGAGATCTGCAGACTCCAGGGACCTGCTCTCGCTGGTTGGCATACTAGCGGTCTGAGACGACGGCAGGTTGCCCAGTGCGAAGTGTTGGAAACTACATTTCCCAGCATTCCAGGGCGCGCCCGGGGACCACAGATCCCGGCGCAACGCCGAGAGGCCAGATACTACAAATCCCAGCATGCCGCGCGCCCCACTCTTCTAACTTAGACTCTGATGTGCCGCGCAGTGTGCGCAAATTCGGAATCCCGCAGGCGGGGATGGTGGGTTCTGAATCCGAGACTTAAAACTAGACGAGAAGACCCACTTCATTCTCACAAGAAGATGACAACCCACAGAGAATTAACTTCTGTTTACATGCAACTCAGAAGTCTTCTGCAAATCATGGTAAGGTTGCAAACAACAAACAAAAACTGATTAAACCATGAAAGATTGTGGAACAAAATGACTTCCTCAAATCGTCTTCGTTTGTTTGGGGCGTCTTTTAAGTGTTTCGCAGGGTTTTCTGGTTCATTCCTTCTTTGAACTGGGAAATCTACCGATTGTGTATATTCGGAATATCAGTACGGGAAGGGACACTAAAGAATGTGCTAATCCAATCCCTGTTGTTTTTACTCATGAGGAAGTTGAGGCCCAGAGAGGGGAGATGTTGGCCACAGTTCTAGCAAGTTAGGACAGAATTAGAATTCAGTTCTAAGCCTGCTGACCCCAGAGTGTGGGTTCCACTAGGAAGGTGATATTTTCAGCAGTATGACAATGTGATTGTTATTCTTTATGAACAGGAAATCAACCTTCATCCAGGATTGAAATATCCAGAAATTAGGTAAGCATTTATTTAGTGAATTTACTGCAAGTGAGGAAGTGTGATATTTGTTTTTCTTGAGTTTAGGTAGGATTTCATGTTTTGACTTGTTCTTTCTTTGTCACTCAAGGAAGATGTTTAACATGATTTCAGGAAGTAGGTAGAATTGATTTAAGCCACAATTTCCTTGGAGATCTCCTCTGTCCTTTCCTAGGTTTGTCTTCCTCTTTCTTTCCCTCTTCTCACCCATCTGAGCACACACTCAATTTTTTCTTCCATATAATTCAACAAACATGTTTTCATCTCTGTCATTTGTCAGGCACTGAGTGGGTAAAAGGTGAAAGGCATGATCACTGTCACTAGGAAGATAACCATTAATTTAGGGAAATAAGGAGACTCCATTGAGATTCAAGTTGGATTATGATGCATAAAAGAAATAACATCAGAATGCCACAGAGGTCCTGCTGGAGAGATTTATAACTGACAAACTTTATGGAGGAAGTGGCATTTGAACTTGAAGGATGGATTTTTTCCTACACTAAAAAATTTATCCTTAAATGCTTTTGTCAATGAGGTAAAACAGTAGAGAAAGACTTTTCACATATGTATACACCCATATTGCCATCACCCAAATCAAGATAGAGAACGTTTCCAGCATTCACTGTGCCCCTTCTCAATCTGTACTACATCCACACATCTAGAAATAACCACTCTTCTGGCTTTATTACCATAGGTAATTTTGTCTGTACTTGATTTTCACTTATACGGTGTGTACATTATATGTCTGGCTTTTCTTGTTCATTGGTGTTTTTTATGAGATTCATCCTTGGTATGTATATCTTTTTTAAATTTTTTTTTATTTGCTTAGTAGTATGCCATATGATCACAGTTTATTTGATCTGTTGATGGTCATCTGGGTTACTATCATTTTTTTGGCTGTTATTAACAAAGCTACATTCTTTTTTAAAATACTTTTTTAAAAAACATATTTCTTTTATTTGTCAATGGAACTTTATTTATTTTTATGTGGTGCTGAGAGTCGAACCCAGTGCCTCACACATGCCGGGCAAGCACGCTACCACTGAGCCACAACCCCAGCCCCAAAGCTACTTCTTATATGAACCTTTGTTTCTTCTTGTGGACATAAGCACACATTTCTAGGGAAGAAGTCGCTGTCTTGTAGAGTATGTATGTGATCAGCAACAGAGATATTGCCAGTTTTCCAAAGTGCCTTTTCCAGCAATATAAGAGAGTTCTAGTTGCCTCTTATCCTTGCTGACACAGGGTTTTTGTTGTCAGTCTTTATGTTAGCAATTTTGGCTAAATGTGGCATTTCATCAAAGTATTTATTTACATTTTTCTGACACTGAGCATCAGTATCAGAATGCTTATTGCCAATTTGAATGTCCTCTTTTGTGAAGTGACTGCTCAAGTATTTTGCCCACTTTTACTTATTAATTTTTTTGGTAAGGAGGACTGAACTCAGGGGCACTTAACCACTGAGCCACATCCCCAGCCTTTATTTGTATCTTATTTAGAGACAGGGTCTCACTGAGTTGCTTAAGGCCTCTCTAAGTTGCCGAGGCATGTTTTTTCACTCTTACTGGTGTCTTTTGAAACAGAATTTCTTAATTACAATGAAATGTAATGGTTTTGTGTTTATGTAACACTTTTTGCATTGAATTTAAGAAAGCTTTGGCTGTGGGGTTAATAGGATTTTTACAGGCAAATGTGAGAGAAGAACATGGCAAAAAAAAAAAAAAAAAAAAAAAAAAAAGCTTTCTCTAAAGCAAGCCTGGACACAGGCCTGTTTGAATTCATGATGGGCATTGGAAGGCCTGGAGTGGAGAGGCCTGTGAAGGGAGTGGAGTGAGGCAAAGCTGGAATATTAGAAGGAAGGCATACTGCAAAGGACTTAAACTGTAGCCCTGGAGTATGGACATTATTCTGGAAGAAGCAGAGGGATTGCCAGAATATTTATAAGCTCAAATTGAACTCAGTTGTCTTTCTCTCACCCTTAAACTTGCCCCTCATCCTTCGTTGCTGTGTTTTTTTTTTTTTTTAATATTTATTTATTTCTTTAGTTATCGGCAGACAACATCTTTGTTGGTATGTGGTGCTGAGGATCGAACCTGGGGCCGCACGCATGCCAGACGAGCGCGCTACCGCCTGAGCCACATCCCCAGCCCCCGTTGCTGTGTTTTAACACCACTGTCAGACAGCTTTGGCTTCCTGGGCCAGAATCCTGGGTATCCTCCTTCCCTCTCCCTGCATTCAACTGGTCACCAAGCCTCATAGATATAATAGTCTAAATGGCTCCAACAACGTCTCCTTTTTCATCTCCAACTGCTACTACCTTTGTTTAAGATCTTATAGTCTTGTATCTGAAATAAGTCATCTGCTTCCAGTTCTTTTCACATAGTTAGTTCCTGTTCTAACTAGTACAACCATTCTAAATTGACTGTTCTTCCTATTTTCAGCTTTAGAAACTTAAATGGTTATTCAGTGCCCTTAAGATAAACTAAAAACCCCTTGACTTGTCCTTTCTGATTTGCTTATTCATTTTTCCTGACTTAACTCAAGCCTCATCTCCTCCAGATGCCCATCCTTAATCACCCTTCCCCAGGCCACAGTGAGGTGAGTCATATTTGTTCCCCCAGGGGGCTGTGAGATCTCCAAGTGGGAACTTTGCTGTATTTACACTTTCACAGTGTATAGTACTGGCATGTGAATTCCAAGACCCTTGACGACTGGGCTCCAGCTTTGTGCTCCTCATTTCCCGCACCTGAAACCTGGGTTCCAGCCACTGGAAAAAAGAACCTGGGTTCTTTTTCTGCATCAGTGTATGCTGCACAGTGCATGTCCCTGTGATTATGGTCACTACCCTCTTCTGCTTTTTTTTTTTTTTTTTTTGCCTGGAAAACGATTGTTTTTCCTTTCCAAATCTATTTCGTACCTCCAAAGTTATATCATATTCATCTCGTAGCACTTAATACATTGGAGCTTTTTGAGCACAAGAACCTTGTTTTAACTTTATGTAACCTTCTAGAACATAATAGGCACTAATTTTTTTGAGTAAATGAATGAATTGGTTGGGGCTAGACTCTATAGCATTGTTCTGATTTCTGCACTATAATGCACAGTAAGTAAATGGGGCTCTTTTCCTTGACTTTGAGACCTGAAGATCTGTGTCATGTAATCTTAAAAAAAAAAAAAATCAGTTTGAGGGCTGGGGCTGGGGCTCAGCTGTAGTGCACTCGACTGGCATGTGTGAAGTACTGGGTTCGAATCTCAGCACCACATATTTATGAATAAATAAACGTCTATCAACAACTTAAAAATATTGAAATAAAATTAGTTGAAGCGTTCAGTTATGTGGCATTTCTTAGCCATCTTCCTAGGGGAGTCGGTTGACAAAAATGCAATGCCACGAATGACATTTTAGTTTTAGAGCTATTGTTGTTGGCTGCAGCCATCTCCTATTTATTTTATTCTGAATAGAGATCAAGAACATGGTCTCTGGCTCAGACAGTCCGGATTCCAAAGTAGGCTTGGCACTTGGACTTTTAGATTTCAGCTTACCTGAAAAATGAAATGATTACAGGTCATGATGTTATGAGAATTCAACAAGATAATACATATAAAGCACCTGGGGAAAAAAGGCTCAATAAATGGAAGTTGTTTTTAGGTTTAATGTTTCACTGTTCCTAGGGGTAGCTGCATTTGTCACAGAGAGCTCCTGGGGTAAAGCTCAGCCAAAGGGATGAGTTTCGGGTCCAGGATGGTGATGGCGGCTGCTATGGTTTGGGTCCCCATATCACCTAGGCCGCTTTCTTCTCCTGGAGCCCCTCTCCACTCGCCTCCCCTCACGGTTCCCGGGCTGCAGCCCATCCAGGACCCTCTTCTCTCGCCGTGCCCCAACTCAAGATCAGAGGCGGTGAACTCAGCGCGGGGAACCTTGTGTGGGCGGAACTTGAGTGCAGCGGTGGGAGGCTTCCGGGGGAACCGCACGGTCGACGGGTCGGCGGAGATAGAAAAACGCCGGACGCTGGACTGATCATGGACGCTTGACAACCTGCGGTCGGGCGCCGGGAGGCCGAGCCAGCAACGAAGAGGACCCAGAGGCGGCAGGGACAGGTAGGGGCCGGTGAAAGGGCTGCCCGCGCCGGGGCCGATGCTCCAGGCTCGTCCAGACCTCCGGCTTGGCGGCCTCTGCCAGAGAAACCCGCGGCCACGCCGCCCCGCCCCCGCCCCAGGAGCGCGCCCCGCGGCTCCTCACTCCACGCCAGCGGCCCTGCCTGAAGCAAGCTGCCAGCCCTGAGGACCACCCAGCTTGCGCCCTCAGCTTCCTCGTTGTGGATATCTTCGCTGCCCCATCCCCCCAAAGGCCACCCCTTTGCCCCTCTCCGGTTCAACAAAATAGCGCCCTCCGCTGTTGGGAATTCACCTCCGCTGGGTCCCTAGCCTCCTAGGGGGCCTTTGACTCCAAAAGAAAACGACTATCACCGTTTTCTTAAACTCTCCCTCACACACTGTGCGCTTCAGGCTGAGATCTTTTGCATGCACCGAAGTTTCTCCCCATTTCCCTACCTCCTTTCCACCCCAGCTACTTCCATTTACTCTCTTTCCTTAGATACCCACCTGTCTCTTTACACGTGTCCACGTGGAAGGACAATTTTCCTCTCGTTTCCTTACCACCATCACCTACCTTCCTTTACTCTTCTCCCCCATCTCGCCCCTTCCTCCCTTTCCTCTTGTCTCCTCAGAACTCATTTCTTAACACTTCTCTTTTTCTGGCAGGACCTTTTTAGGTAATGCTAAGTGAGGCAACATAATAGTATGAAAGGATTGTAGCTTTGTATGCCTGACTCCACAAGAAAACTTAAGTTTTTCTGGTACCAAACTATCTTTTAAATTTTTCCGTATTTTTCATTGGTACATTATAGTTGTACATAGTGGTGGGTTTAATTGTGCCCTATTTGTTCATGCAAACAATATAATTTGGTCATTGTGGTTCCCCGGTATTTACCTTTTCCCTCTCCTCCTCCTTCCCCCTTGTCCCTTTTCTCTTCTGATCTACCTTGGATTTTTTTTGACACCCCTCCCCCCTTTCTTTTTCGTTTTCCTCTCTTGTTTCCACTTAGAAAACATACAGTTTTGACTTTCTGAGTTTGGCTTTTTTCACTTACCATAATCTCAGGTTCCATCCGTTTTCCTGCAAATGACATAATTTCATTTTTTATGACTGAGTAAAACTCCATTGTGTATATATATACTTTTTTTTTTATCCGTTTATCCATTGATGGACAACTAGGCTGGTTCCATAGTTTGGAATTGTGCTGCTATAAACCGGGTTGGCATGTGTTACTGTAGTTATGCTGACTTTTAATTCTTTAGGATAAATATTGAGAAATGGAATAGCTGGGTCATATGGTGATTCCATTCCTAGTCTTTTGAGGTACCTCCATACTGATTTCTGTAGTGGTTGTACTAATTTATAATCCCACCAACATTGTAAAAGTGTTTCTTTTTTTGTTGTTGTTATCCAGACTATGCTTTTGTAAGTTGTTCTTTATTTTACTATACAAAACTCTTTTCCTTCATTTTGTCATACTCCCCGATTTGCATCATTTATGGAGGACACATCTCTGCTTATGTGGGACTCAAGTAGGTATGTTGTGTGTCCACACACACTCAACATGTAATTAGATTACAAAATTGAGGGGCCTTCCTGTACCTAATGTCTTAGGGATAGCAATACAATATCCGCATTGTTTTTCCAACTTCTGTTATTATTGAGGTTTTATACAGAAATTGAGTTATGTTTAGTAAAATGTCACATATCAATAGAGGAATTTACCCTGTGGACTTACACAGTATTTTTAAAGTTTGAATATATTGTTGCTTATCTTTTACAATGCTTTTTCTCCTTTCTTAATGCTTATATAACGTGTGTGTTTTGCTAGGTGTGGAACCCAGGGCCTTAAGCATGTGAAGCATACACTCTACCACTGGGCTACATCCTCAAACCTTAAATTACTTTTTAAATTAAATGAAATATGGTTCTTGTCAGCTGTTTGTTTTATCTTGTTCTTTTTGTAGATGAGATTCTGATAACACATAGGAAGCTGAAATGAGTTGCCTCTGTTTATGGGCAATATCCTTTGTCTCTGAACCAGAATTTGTAAATGAGGTAGATATAAAATAAGTATGGAGAAACTCCTGTGTTTCTTTAGGCTGGTAATCTTTTTTTTTTTGGTGGGGAGTGGGTATTTAACCCAGGGCACTTGACTGCTGAGCCACATCCTCAGTCCTATTTTGTATTTTATTTAGAGACAGGATCTCACTGAGTTGCTTAGCACCTCGCTTTGCTGAAGCTGGCTTTGACCTCCTGTCTCAGCCTCCTGAGCCTCTGGGATTATAGGAGTGCACCACCACATCCTGCTCTTTAAGAGCCTATAAGGGATGCCTCTGGGAGAGGGACAGATGGGGAAGTGATTTAGACAAAGTGTGTTTCAAACCTCAAAATTGTTAGGACAAAATCCTCTTAACTTCATGTTGAACCCTACCCATCTCAAAAAGTGGTCATTGTATCTGGACTGAGTAGCTATTTTATCTTTATGAACACTATAAAATTATTCTGGCATCTGGTCCAGCTTTAAATAAATACAGTCTTTGGAAAGGAGAAGGAAGAATGACTGACATACCTTTCTTTTGGACAGATCTCAAGGTCAGAGAATGGCAGGTGAACAGAAACCCTCAAGTAACCTTCTGGAACAGTTTATTTTATTAGCCAAAGGTACCAGTGGCTCAGCCCTCACTGCTCTCATAAGCCAGGTGTTGGAAGCTCCTGGAGTATATGTCTTTGGAGAGCTGCTGGAGTTGGCCAATGTGCAGGAGGTAAGAACAGTTTCCAAATAATTGGTCTGTTTTTTTTTCTCTAAACCTTTTCTGTGACTTCTCTAGGTTTCCAAGGAATTTCACTGCTGAAGTATTGTGTACCTCTAGGGTACTATTTAAGGAGTGATAGGAGATGGTGAGGCAGAGGAAAAGATTAAGGATGATGTCTTGGGTTTTTTTATTCAATATTAGTCCCTTGGGCAAAATTAGATTGGGTTGCTAGTTATCTGAAAGATAGCAAAAAAGTCAAAATGGTGCTATAAGTGAGGTATGATGTTTAATAGGGATAGTTTCGGGCATTCTGAGGAACAAAAATCCTCCAGCACAATATAGAAAAGGAAGATTGGTCAGGGACATAATAGAAAATTATTGCTGTGTTGAACCTGAGATGGGCATGAATAGGAAAGTGTTGTTCCTGTGGAAAAGGTCAATGTTGTGTTAAAATAGATGTGTTAAAAAGTTAAGAAAAATAAAGCAAGAAAGTATTCCATTTAGCTTTGTTGATTTGTTTGTTGTATTCTTTTTGGTCAATGTGCCTTAAAAAATGAGATATTTTAAGAGTGACCAAGTGGAACAAAGAGATGGAAAGCAACTTGCACTACTTTAGGCACTTGTGTTTTTATTTGGATTCAGGGGCACTTAACTACTGAGCCACATCCCCAGCCCTATTTTATATTTTATTTAGAGAAGTGCAAGCATGTTTTTGCTTTGGAAGGGAGCTCTCAGAAGCTTTGATGTGTTGGTGGCAGGTTCGCTTTCTCTCTGCCATCCTGGGTTTCTGGTGGTGCAGAATGGCGCCGGCTAAAGGATGGCCACTATGGGCAGATCCAGGTGTGGTACTTCTTGCAGATCATGTGCTGGMTGCTTCTGAGAGTGGCCTTTGTATTCTTGATGGTGGTGGTGTTCTGTATGTAGGAAAACTGTATGTTTTCCCTCTAAGTGGCTGACTTTTGCTGGATGGATCATTACCTTCATGAGCATCATGACACCTTTGCCATTAGCTGCTGGGTCTGTGTCCATAGCCAGTTGTAACCACAGCAGTGGACCTTAAGGGTATTGGGCTTGGTGCTGTATGTCTGCTTCTAATTCTTGGTCAGGAGGTAGAGTAGTTCCTTATGACAATTCTGCATGTCTCCCCTTCTTCTGCTGGCCAGAAATGGAACTAGAGAGCCACTGTATTATTTATTTATTTATTTATTTTTTAGTTTTAGGTAGACACAATATCTTTATTTTACATTTATGTGGTGCTGAGGATCAAATTCAGGGCCTCGTGCATGCTAGGTGAGCACTCTACCACTGAGCCGCAACCCCAGCCCTGCCACTGTATTTTTTAACTGTAAATTTTTATTTACTGTTAGTCTTGTTTGCTGTAAGCTCTGTGGGGATAAGAAAGACTTGTGCTCACCATAACTTTATTGGAGTGGAATACATAGACTGACACACAGTAGGCTTTCAGTGAATATTTAGTTTACCAGAGATGGAAAATTAATATTTTGGGAAGATTTGAGAGAACTGGGTTTACTTTTCAACAGAAGACATGACCTTTAGATTCATGAAAAGCCTGAATGAAAATGCCAAACAGTTGATTCTGAAACTGTGCAAGATTGGTGAAGAGGAAATACATGGAAATTAAAGCTGGCAAGACCTTATGGCCTTATCTGTTTTAACTGTCTCTCTGAAAAGGGGACTAGGTTTGGTGGTCTTTACAGGTCTCTTCTACCGCTGATTCAGGGACCTATAGAGGTTTGTAATACCTTAGAAGGTAGGCTGAGGTAGAGAGTGGTAGAGTTCTTACTCTTATGCTTAGCAGATCACCTTTATCTCCACAGTTTGCGTTTTTCCATTTGTGAGCTAGGAATAAGCTAGCTGCCTTTCAGTGGTCTGAAAGTATGGTTCTTGGAACTTTTTAAAAAAATTTTTTGGAATTTTCTTTTAAATGGCTAAAATTGAATAGTAGTAGTATTGTTATTACCGTTTAGATATTACTGAGTTTGGTAAATTGGTGCTGTGTGTATGCACATCCATAAACAAAATTGGTGCTTGATTGTAGTAAAAGAAGCACCCAGTTAAGGTAATTGACAGCAGAGCAGTTCCAGGCAGAGTAGTAGTTCTTCTGTTTTTCTACAGTGTCTTCAGTGAAGAATAAGTAATTTTAATGAAAGTTTTTATTTGGGGAAGCCTGATATCCTGGTTTCCTGTCCTAGTCCGGCTTTTCTTTCACACTTTATGCTGTGCTACTCTTTCCCAGGGTGAATAATCCATATATGGTCCTGAAAGTTGGATCCTAAGCTGTGTTCAGTTGGGTTGATAGTGATTCTCAACCTCCTGAACTGTTGTGTGGACAGGACTGTCTTTGTTTTGATACTGGCGATTGAACCTGGAGGTGCTTACCCGCTGAGCTACATTCCCAGCCCTTTTTATGTTTTATTTTGAGATAGGGTCTAAGTTGCTCAGGGCCTTGCTAAGTTGCTCAGGCTGGCTTTGAACTCAAATCTTTTTACCTCAGCCTCTGAAGTTGCTGGGATTATAGGCATGCACCACCACACCTGGCCCAGTCTTTTTTTTTTTTTTTTTTTTTAAGTCGTAGGTGGATGCCCAGTCTTTTTTTTTTTTTTTTAAGTTGTATATTTTATTTGTTCATTTTTATGTTGTGCTGGGGATTGAACCCAGTGCCTCACGTGAGCTAGGCAAGCAGTCTACCACCAGGCCACAACCCCAGCCCCCAGTCTTTGTTTAATGCAAAAGAAGACCTGAGAAAAGTTGAACTGCTTCCAGTGCTTAATGCCGTGTGTGTGTGTGTGTGTGTGTGTGTGTGTGTGTGTGTGTCTGTCTGTCTGTCTGTCTGTCTGTCTGAAGCAGCTACTGGGACATGCTAGGTGTAGAATAAAATGTCATCCTAAGGAAGAGAGATTGAATTTGGGATTTTAATAATCTTATTTATTTTTTTTCCCAAAGAATCAAGAGTTAAGGGACCCCAGGGACCACCTTATCAAACAATACAGAATAAACAGCTGTGGCATCTTTGGCACATGGTCACCCACCTCTGTTCAAGCGCTCTAGTGATTGGTATATAGCTTGGTCTGTGGTAAACTTTGTTTTTCCTCCTCAGCTTGCAGAAGGAGCAAATGCTGCTTATTTGCAGTTGCTGAACCTGTTTGCCTATGGAACATACCCAGATTATATAGGTGAGTTGATTAAGATCCTTCAAAAGACTTAACTATGTCGATCCATTTGGAGGATGATAGAGGTTCTAGATAAAATGTTGCTTGTGTTTATGGGAGAATTCTTGATAGGGCTGTTATCATGTTACTGCAGGTGACCTCACAAAAGGGATTTTCCTTCTCACTTTTTATTTTCCGTCAGGTAAAATAGGGGCTGTGTGTATGCACATCCATAAACAAAGCCCTTGTTTATCTTCCAGGTGAGATTCTTGAGACCTAGTGTTCATAGGGCACTTGGTATGTGATAAAGTGTCAGAATACCCACTTGTAAAATATTTCATTGTTTTAAATGTTATCAAAATAACATACTATATTGAAGAATGTTTGAAAAATAGATTTTAAAAGTGACTTATATAGATGAATGGATAAAAAAAATGTGGCATTTATACACTATGGAGTATTACTCTGCATTAAAAAATGACAAAATCATAGAATTTGGAGGGAAATGGATGGCATTAGAGCAGATTATGCTAAGTGAAGCTAGTCAATCTTTAAAAAACAAATACCAAATGACTCCTTTGATATAAGGGGAGTAAACAAGGACAGGGTAGGGAGGAAGAGCTTGAGAAGAAGATTTACATTAAACAGGGATGAGAGGTGGGAGGGAAAGGGAGTGAGAAGGGAAATCGCATGGAAATGGAAGGCGATCCTCAGGGTTATACAAAATGACATATAAGAGGAAAGGAGGGGTAAGACAAGATAATACAAATGGAAGAAATGATTTACAGTAGAAGGGGTAGAGAGAGAAAAGGGGAGGGGAGGGGAGGGGGGGATAGTAGAGAATAGGACAGACAGCAGAATACATCAGACACTAGAAAGGCAATATGTCAATCAATGGAAGGGTAACTGATGTGATACAGCAATCTGTATACGGGGTAAAAGTGGGAGTTCATAATCCACTTGAATCAAACCGTGTAATATGATGTATTAAGAACTATGTAATGTTTTGAACGACCAATAATAAAATAAAAAAAATAAAGTAACTTATAGTTGTACCTCCATTAAATTACTGGTAGCTTTTTAGTGCTAGATTTGTTTCCCATTATGCTTGAATGTTCTATTCATCGGTGTAATTAGATTTTATATATATATATATACAATTTCATATTTTTACTTCATTTGCTTCACAAGTCTTTATATTTTAAGTTTGTACTTTATTTATTTATTGGTACTGGGAATTGAACCCAAGGATGCTTTATCATTGAATTAATTCCCATCCCCTTTTATTTTGAGACAGGGTCTCTCTAAATTGTCTTTAAATTGTCCAAGTTGCCCAGATTGGCCTGAAAAATGCAATTTTCCTGCCTCAGGCTCCTGAGTTGCTGGGATCATAGAAGTGCACCACTGTACGTGGATTTACTCAATTTTAACATCTCACAATCTCCTATTCTACCACAAAGATACATCCCTACCCCATTTGAGTCGTTTTTAAATTAGAATCTTAAGTTTCAGAAATAAGGGACTTGCATATCCAAATGCTAACTTGTCTTATACCCAAACCACTTTTTTTCCTCCTGGATTTCCTTTCCTTTTTCTTCCTTCCTCTTCCCCTCTCTCTCTCTCTCTCCCCCCCTCGCACCCTCCCATTCTTCCTCTCTCCTCTTTTTTGCTTGCTTTTTTTCACATGAAAGTAGACTGACACTCAGCTGTTTTCTACTTTATCCCTCCTTTCTCATTGGTCATTTCTCCTTATTCTGTGCTGCTGTCAGACTGAACAGTTTGCCACTTCTTGGTACACCACATTTTTCTAATCTCTTTTGTTCCAATGAATGTGTCCTGTTTCTGTCTTCACTTACTAAGGAGGCAGCATTGTAGACTCTGGAAGCAGACTGCCTATATTCTAACTCTACTTCTGCTAGTTGTGTGCTCTCCAGCAAATGAAGTAATCTTATGTGCCTCAGTTTTCTTAGTTGTAAAATGAGAGTAACAATACAAGTCCATGATCCCTTACTTGCACTTCTTGAGGCTAGATGTTTTAACAGTTTAGAATTTGGTGGACTTTGAAAAGGTAGTATGTGTTTGCCTTTTCATGTAACATTCTAAGAAGGATGTGGGCAGCATCTATATTTGAACATATCCATAATTTTGCAACAAAATAGTAAATATTCACAACAAGTGAGATAAAAGCCAGCCTCAGTTCAGTCCTGTCCTTAGGACAGGAACTGCCACCACATGAATTTCAGCACCCTGCTTAAGAAAAAAACAATCAGTTTGGGTTCAGCTTTTTGAAATCCAGAATTATGTAAAGGGATTGAGGACATTTGGAATCCGTCTTGGGTTTGTTGTGATAACTGGATGTTTGCCTGTGTGCCTGCGTGTGTGTGTGCTGTATGTGTGTGTGCTGTGTGTCATCTGCAGCTACTGCCCTCCCCGATTGCTGCTGTGATTCTTACTATTACTAAAGTTTTGCTTATCTCTCAAGGCTCATCTCAAAATAAAACTCCATCTCTTCCATGAAGCCTGCCTTTCTCTCTCTTCTATACCTCCCAGATGAGATTGTTTTCACTGTTCCCTTCCCCCCCTCCTTCTCTAACCCTTCTCCCCCTCTTTTTGTCTATTCCTCCCTCTCCCCTTTTCTCTTGGAAGTTTGTATCCTTCTGGTAGCTCTGCTTTGCATTTGTAGCTAGTGAAATATTGAATTATAAGACTGAGGATAAGTCCAGGGCCAAAGAGTTGCACAGCAGTAGGTGTTTGGAGCTCCTGAAGTTGTGTGGTGCAGCAGCCTTGACAAAGCCCATCTTATTCATCCTTGATTTCTCTTAAGACAGCACCTTGCATAGAATAGATGCTCAGTGAAGATATGTTGAACTTAAAATGAGTGTCACAAGGAGCACAGACAGTATTCCATTAAGATAATTCCACTTAAGAAGATTTTGTTTGTTCGTGCCTGGCTTTTTAGGACACTAAACTCCTTGTGTTTAGAGACTGTCTTTCCTTTTTTGGAAGCATGTTGTCTTTCAGAGAAGATGGGAGGTGCTTATAGAATGTTTGCCCAGTGAATAAATGCAGAGGCATGATAGTGATTTAGTAGTACATTTGGTGGGGAGTTGATGAGCTTATTCCATAAAATATCCTAATTTTATTTTGTGTCTTGGTTTTTGTGGTGGGTGGGACTGAGCAGCCAACAAGGAGAGCCTGCCAGAACTGAGTACAGCTCAGCAGAACAAGCTGAAACATCTTACCATCGTGAGCTTGGCATCAAGAATGAAGGTACAGTCCCAGCTCCTTCCCTGCCTTCCTCCATATCCCGAGTCAGGTGTCTCATTGGCATCAATGAGGGAACTCCCACCTACTCACAGTAGAGTTGTATCCTAAATACATAACATTTACTTGGCAAAGAGGAAAAGGTGACAAGGTGGCATAAACAGTTACTCCTCATTCCTGTGTTCAGGAAAAACATGTCCTGCAGGGGCTGAATCACCAGGTCTTGTTCTGGCATGCCATGGGTCCTCATGTGAACTGAGCATTTTGGCATGTTAAAGGGAGACTGCTGTTGAAAGATACATATTTTTCAAATGGCAGGGTATCTTGCGGCAAGTTAACAACTTCTTCTGTTGCTCAGTGCACAGTGAACTATACCCATGTTGGAGGAAGATCTTGGTATATTGGATTTACTGAGAGTGAGTGTGTCCGTCCTGTCTGTCCGGCCCCCCCCCCCCCCCCCCCCCCCCGTGTTGAGGATTAAACCTACGGTCTTGCCCATATTTTGCAAATGCTCTACCACTGAGCCATACCCTCAGCCTTTTTTATTATTATTATTTTCAAGGTTATTATTCTAATTGGAATTTTTGCCTCTTATGCTAATTTTACATTCTATCCTTCTGTAAGATTTCATTCCATCATACTTTGGAGTTCTGTGCTCCAGTGGATTTAGAAGAAGCCTTGCACCCAGCTGCTCCCAGCCATTAATAAAGACAGTCCAGACTCAGTTAATTTATAGTTGACTTGGATTCTTTGCCTAGCCTCCTAAGTTTTTGTGGGAATATGCTTTTGAAAAAGTTTGATTTTTGATTGCACTTGAGATATGTATGTGTTCTTGGGCTGCTGTTTCAGTTGCTGAAATTATTTTACCTGATCTATTCACAAATTTCTGAAACTCATTTTAAGTAGAAGGCTCTCCCCCTCCCCCCATCCCTTTTGGTGGTGCAGAGGATTGAACTCAGGGCCTTGTGCACACTAGGCTTGCGCTCTATCACTGAACTATATCACCAGCCCAGTGGGTCCAACTTTGGGAAATGAAGACCTGACCTTTTTCTAGTCCTGCACATGGACTTCTCGAGTGTTATAAGGGTAGGATGACTTTTCTTCTTTCTGCAACCTATTATTGTAAGCCCAGCTATCACCCCTGGATAGCATGCCCTTAGCCATGGAGCGCCCTTCTAGATGTGTTTGCTATGTTTTTTTTTTTTTTTTTTGTGTGTGTGTGTGTGTGCATCTTTCTTTTCTTTGTGTCTACAAATTTGATTTCTGTATTTTATTTCCAAACTGTAGTAATGTGGCAGGATTTGCAGAAAACTGGATATTTATATATTGTCCTTGCATGTAGTATATTGGTACAATCCAATAAAGGATTTGTTGGGGATTTGCATTGGTTGCAAAAATCTGAGAAAACAGATACAGACCTTAAGGTGCCATCTTTGCTGGCTGTCTTCACTGGCCACCTGTAGGAACAAGTGATGGCCTGCACATTTTTTTGCTATAGCACTTTGCTGGGCAAGCAGCCAGTTCTCTCCAGGGCCTGGGATCTCTTGGAGGTTTATGATAATCTGGCATTGTATGCAAAATATGCAAACTTCCGGAAGGTGGCAGCGTGGCACACACTGTTTCCTTTTTCTCTGAAAGGCATCTTTCACACTCTGTGCTCCAGGGTGTGAAAATTGAAGTCTGGGTGAAGTCTAGGATGTAAAGAATAAAGAGGGCACCTTCTTGGATGCCATAGGGTCTTGTTACAGGTCCTGTGATTCATTCATCTACTTTTGTTGCCTTAGACATGAATGATTATCACTGACCTGCATCACCTGAGCCCAAAATTGGCTGTTGTCTATGTGGATAATGCCCACATTTTCATTAATGCTTGCCAGATGGTTTTTATAACTATCACATGGCCTTATCCACAGTGTATTCCCTACTCTGTGCTGCTGAAGGATCTGGAAATGAGGAATCTCCGAGAATTAGAAGACCTCATCATAGAGGCTGTTTACACTGACATCATCCAGGGCAAGCTGGACCAGCGAAATCAGCTGCTAGAGGTGGATTTCTGCATTGGCCGTGACATCCGCAAGAAGGATATCAATAATATTGTCAAGACCTTGCATGAATGGTAAAGCTGAAATGAGGAGGGGGATAGCTAGCTTGTCCTTTGTGCATCTACATGCAAAAATGTGATCACCAGGAGTCAGCTGAGGGCTTGGGGTGAACCAGATAGTGAGCTGCATTTGTGATTACAAATATGTGGCAACAGGAATCATTTCACTCATTTCACTTGTACGATTGTTCTTGCCTTAAATGCAGCCGAGGGTTGTTTAACAGTGGGCTCTAAAATATCCAGACCTAGCAGGTAGAACTTCACATCCTAGTTATTGTGATGCCAGTCCTATACTTTGCAGATGTAGACTCAAAGTTTGGCCAAGCTCAGAAAGTTTTTTGTAAGTTGTTTTTGTTTTTTTGGTTTTTTTTGGGGGGGGGGATAAGAAACCTTTGTTCAGTGTCAGTAACATTGGGCTGGTGTTTGTGAAACACTGTAAGGGATATGTAATGGGTGGTTCTAATTTGGAACACAGCCTCATGCAGAATATTTGATAACTATATCCTGATATATAAAAAGAATTGGGACATTTGTATATTCTCAATGAAATGTGATATTTGCAAGAGCTGTTACACATTCTACAAGGATTTGTTATGGAGTTATTTAAATGATTTAGGGCTTATAAAGCTAGGTAGACTTAAGAGAAGTTTTAGTGAGCTTTGAAGGAGGGCCAGGAGTAGAGTAGAATTTGAGGTGAGGGGAGAATGTAAGCAGGCAGGCTTCATGCAGAGGGACAGGCAAATTGTTTTCCTTAAAACCAATGATCTCTATTTTATCCCCTGGAGTCTTTTCAGGGATGAATGGCCCACCTTTGATCCCTGAGGTCTAATCCCCCCGCCCCCAAGTTTCCCTCATTAACACTACTCTTAAACCTCAGGCATGTGCTTCCCACTCCTCACATTATGTTCTGTCCCAAGTGTGGCCCCAAACTACTTCCCTGTGCAACATATGACAAAAGCAAGAGCTTTCAAAGATTGTTAAACTGTTAAATCAGAATAAACTTATAAAATGTCCACAACACACACACAAAAAAAATGGTCTAGAAACAAAATCTAGATTTCTGATCCTACTAAAGTTGTCTGTTCCAGTCCAGTTTTGACATGGCTGGTATGGTTTTCACAACCAGGGCCTGGTTTCCTGTTTTAAGCCCCTAGTATGTTGGGCCAAGATGTGGTACCTTGACTCCTAGCCCAGAATGTTCACCAGGAAAGATTCTTAGAACTTCTGTTGAGGTTTGGCATTTAATTTGGAACAGAATTGCTACATTGAGAGGTCCCACAAAAATGGCAAAATGTTTACAATATTGAATTTTTATTTTATTTTTTGTACCAGGGATTGAACTCAGGGGCACTCAACCACTGAGTCACATCCCCAGCCTTATTTTGTATTTTAGAGACTGGGTCTCACTGAGTTGCTTAATGCCTCCGTGTTGCTGAGGCTGGCTTTGAACTCATCATGTTCCTGCCTCAGCCTCTCAAGGCACTGGAATTACATGTGTGTGCCACTGCGTCTGGCTCAATATCGAATCTTAAATGGAGGGGATATGAATATTTATTGTGCTATGCTTTCAAAAAAATTTTTTTTATTTTAAAAATTTCAAAACACAGAAAGTGGAGAAAATAACAATGAGCAATAGGAGGGGTATGGCAATTAGAAAGGCACTTCAGCTTCTGAGGAAAGGGGTAATCTCCCAAATAGGATGCTTTTGGGGATTTTTTTTTTTTTTTCTGTTGAAAGTGATTAGTGTAACCTATCAAGTCTTGCTCATCTTCTTTAGTCCACAGTCTGTAAAACCATTTCCCATGGTCTACAGAAGTTGGATATGAGAGCTGTATTCTAAGAAAGTACAAACAAGCCACCATATTTATCACCATCTTTCCTATTTGGACAATCTGGGGCAAGGGCAGAGGAGGTTAAAGGAAGTCCTACAAGGTGCTAGGGAGACTTATTGGGAAAGAGATTCCTGAGGCTAGGGGAGAGTTCTGGGCCTTCTTGCAGCTCAGGGCTGGTTTTCTTTGTTATAGGTGTGATGGCTGTGAAGCAGTTCTGCTGGGCATTGAACAACAGGTCCTGAGAGCCAACCAGTACAAAGAGAACCACCACCGGACTCAGCAGCAGGTGGAGGCAGAGGTAAGCAAGAAGAGAATGTTTGCTCTTCTCCAGGGTGTAACCTGGCTGTTCTTTGTAGTGTTTTTGTTTTTGTTGTGTGAGCCTTGGTATGGCCAAAACAAGCAGTCCCCCCAATTAGGCATTGTTTTTGTTGCTGGAACATAGGAAAACATAGTGGGACACAGCTCCTGCTCTTGATCCTCTCTGTCTTCTGATTCTTGGTCAGTAGAGGGTGTGCAGACTTGGATTACAGAGAAGGTTATAATTCTCTGATATACATGCATTTGCAACTGTAGAGCAGAAGAAAACACATTTGGGAATGGATCTTAAAAATGGTTAGAAGAAGGCTGGTGTTGTAGCTCAGTGCTTCCCTGGAGGGTGTTCTATCCTCAGCACCACATAAAAATCAGTAAATAAAGTAAAGGTATTGTGTCCATCTATAACCCCCCCCCCCAAAAAAAATTTTTTGTTAGAAGGAGTTGGGAAATGTGGCTCAATGGTAGAGCGCTTGCCAAGCATGCACAGGGACCTGTTCAAGAGCCAGCACTGGGGAGAAGAAAGCTAAAAGGATGGTGGTTGTCAGCTGTGGAGGAGGTACGGGCTTCAAGGCCTGGTAATGTCCTGCCTAAGTGGTATGGCAGGTGCAGAGTGTTTGTGTTATTCTTCTCTCAACTATACACATATATTACAAACATTTTTAATTTCATGATGTTTTATACTAGAAAAGCGAAAAATTCTGTGCATGAAAGGAAAACAGGATGTGAGTGGGATTTTAGTGATGCCTTATTGTCCAGGACACTTGCAATCTCTTGCATGGATGCAGGCTCTGACTTTTGTGTTCTGTGCATTTGTGTGCCTACAGTATGATGCGCGGAGCCCTTAAGATTAAAAGTATTGGTTTATTTTAGCAATTAAAGTCCTTTTTAAGTGTGGCTGGGGCTTGAAATGTCAATGGTATTGAATGAGTTTTAAAAATCAGGTGTTCTAAGAGTGGGGCTCAGAATTCCAGGTGTTTCAGGAGCATAAAAAATGAGGAGACATGCTTTTCACAGAGGGGTTTGTGAATTTGGAGTCTTCTACACCTTAAAAAGAAAACCTGTGCTTATTTATCTCCATAAAACCGGCTCTTGTTCTCTGCTTCACCCACAATAGGTACTCAGATTTTGAACTGAATGCTTCTGTTATTCCATATATGTGTGTCAGTGGACTGCTGAAGTAGGCCTTTCATGAACTAGTGCTAATTTATTTCAAATACCCTCCTCCCCATGTGTATACACTCTAGATGTTCAGTTCATGGTACTTTTTAAATCCTACTTCTAGCCAGGAAGGATAAATTACTTCTAATTTAACATTAGCAAAGGCAAAGTCAATTAGGAAATTAAGCCTGCTACTTCTTTAGTAAGCTGGGCAACCATCCTCTTGAATATATGGCCTCCTATCTGATCTAGGATTGAGATGTGAACAACTTAGGACAGGCTAACCACTTTCCTTTCTTTTTATTTTTCCTTGTAAATCAATTTCTGAGGAAAACAAGGTTTGGAGACCTAGTCCTAGGGAAGCCTAGGTAAAACCTACCGCCTTTAACCTAGCAGGGGACACAGGTTGCTGGACTGTTGCTGATTGTGGCAGCTGGTGAAAAGTGAGTAGGGAAGGGGCATCATTGTGGTCATTGAAAAGATGAATGATGCTAGTTTTAGGATTTTGAACTGTTCAAGGTTACTTTCAGTGACTGGCATCAGAAGGAAGAAAAGCTGGTGTGAGAATCATAGCCTCTGGGACAGGAGTCCCTGTGTTTCTTCTTTGCTAGCAAAGTAATAAATCTTTTTCCTTTTTCTGAAAAAAAAAAAAAAAAAAGCAAGTGAGCATGGAGTTGTTGTAGACACTGGGCCAATGTGAACCATGCTCTGTTCTTACTCAATAGTGTATACTCTTCGAATCATGGTTATTTAAAGAAAAAAAAAAAGTGAACAAGTTTGTCATGGTAGCCCATTTTTGGAAAATACAGCTACCTCTGCTGGTAAAGCCTGGTGCCCACTAGGTGGCGCTAAGGACTTAGGTTTGAGAGAGAGATCTGAGAAGACCAAGGCCACCTCCATCACTATTTAAAATGATCTGTTGACTTAATAATCTTCTAGAAAACTTGGAACAGATGGATAGGAAAAGAGAGAGTGAATCGCAGAGGCTGGTTATTTTCTGTTCAATTAGTTCATGGTCTGAAGCCCAGGGTAGGTGCTGATCATCCCCTGCTTAAGGCACATGGAACGTGCTTACCAAACGCTCAGAGTTGAAAAGAAAACAGCGATCTTCAGAAAACAAAGGTAGTTCTGTTATATTCTGCTTACTTTTGTACTTCAGTTACCCTTGGCCATTTATAGTCATTTTCTTAACTGGATGGGTAATCTTTTTTTTTTTTTTTTTTAATATTGTTTTAGTTGTTGATGGACCTTTTTTTAGTTTATTTGTATGTGGTGCTGAGAATCGAAACCAGTGCTTCACAAATGCTAGGCAAGCGTTCTTATACTGAGCTACAATCACAGCACAGGTGATCTTTTCTTTATTGGTCCTTAAAGTCCATTGCTGTTCTCAAAGGGCAAAACTTAATGTTTTTCCCCAAAATCTCACAATAGCTTTCTTCTGGTGAGTTGGACCTTCCAGAAAACCTTCCGTCTGAATGAAGATAGCCCTATTACAAAATTATAAAAAGAAATATTCTTTCCTTTTAGCTCTTTATAGAAATAACGTATTTAATTATAATTCCAGCAAGTCTGGGGGTACAGAACAGTAATATTATGAGCTAGTTCATTGTTTCTGAGAAGGTGCTCTGGAGGGGAAGGAAGTTCACAAAGCAACTCTCATTTGATTTTAGAAGAGATTTTTCTTTATATTGAATGTTTCTATGTCTGATGTTCTGTGAAATGTTAATATATAGCTGTAGTTATACATTTACAAAATAGGCTGTGTTCAATTCATATAGGTAATAAAGCTAAAGAAGGCTCTACTTTCAGTTATGTAGAAAATCCCCCAGGAGCTAAGTCAGTGACAAATCTTGAGCTTTCTGACTGTTATAGTGGCACTAACAGTATGTCTTGGGTACCTGCTAGATAGGCTGTCTCCCATCTCCTGCTTCCCCCCCTTTTTTTTTTATTTTGGCATGGAGTTTGAACCTAGGAGTGCTTTGTCATTGAGCCATGTTCCCAGCCCTTTATATTTTTAATTTTGAGACAGCGTCTCACTAAGTTTCTTAGGGCCTCACTAATTTGCTTATGCTAGTCTTGTCTTTGTGTTTCTCCTGCCTCGGCCTCCTGAGCCACTGGGGTTACAGGCGTGTGTTACTGCACCCAGCTCCTGCTGCTCCTTTTCTTTATAGCAATTTTCCAACTGTGGGTTCTATTTCCTATTGTCTGCTTTTGCTTTGCCCCACAGCTGAAGGAAGGTTTCCTGCCCCAGAAAGCTCTTCTCTCTCCATTTGCCTGAATAATTAAGGTCTGTAATAGATCCAGGCTGCATTTATTTTTTGTTTTTTTGCCAGCAGGTGTCTTAACTGGGAAATTCCTGAAGTCCATGTTTTGAAGAGCTCGACAAACTCTAGGTCATCTATGGGTAGGTGGGGTGGGGTGGCCTGTAAGCCAGCTCCTCCAAGAGGAAAATCAGGAGGAGTCGGGTCAGATTTAGACCAAAGAAGACAAGTCTGAGGCTATTTGTCATCAATTGAATGGGGTTCTGTGGAAGAGGAATTAGACATCTCAAAGTCTGAGAGGTTGAAACAGATGTAACTGGTGCACCTACCTGCAGGGCCAGTCTGGAGTTCTGGAAGGAGCTCTGTGCTTAAGCCTGCCCAGCTCCTGGCAGAAGTTAATTGACTACTTCTTCATTTTTGTGGTACTGGGGATTGAACACAGGACATTGCATGTACTAGGCAAAATTCTTACCACTGAGCTACATCCCAAGCCTTTTTATTTTATTTTGAGACAAGGTCTCAATAAGTTGCTTAGGCTGGCTTTGAACTTGCAGTCCTTCTGCCTCAGCCTCCCAAGCCTCTGGGATGATAGGCGTGTGCCACTACACCTGGCTCTAATATTCCTTTTAACCCTGAGCGTCTGTGATTGGCCTTAACAGTCCTTTTCGTCAGTTCTGTATGTTTAAAATGCCAACGGTAGGACTGGCAAAGTGCTTGCCTGGCATGCACAAGACTTTTTTTGGGGAAAAAAAATTGCCAACACTACAGCTGATGTCCAAGCAAGGCATCTGTCACACTAGCACCCAGTGTGGGGGCCACAGCACTCCCCCTCCTGAGATTGTCTTTGTGGAGTTCTCAGGCCTTGTTTCTTGCACATAGAGATATTTGCCTAAGAAGCCCTCTTTTCTTTCCCTTAGTGTTTACATTTTGCTTCTGTGTGATAACTACTGTGGAGGACTTAGATTTGTTGGTAATCCTGTTGGTACAGGGAGAGGTGTATGCATGAGACATGGAGACCCAGTGCTAGAGGAGGTGATGGAGTGAGAGCACTGCCAGGCAAAAGCAGCTTGGGAATTCCAGACAGGTCAGTGTGGGTTGGAGTGGTCAGGAAAGGTTGTATGGAAGAGGCACTTGACTCTCCAGGCAGGTAAGGAGATTAGCTAAGGAGGCGTTTTGCCCAGGCTGGACTTGCAGGGTCGTGAAAGGCGGAGATAAAATGAGTGCTTCTGAGTGTTGGTGTGGTGGGGAGGGACAGTGAAAGTAGCTGGAGTGAAGGGTCTGTGTTGAGGAGCAGGGAAGGAAGGTACCAGATCTTGAGTGGTTGAGTGGTGTTTAAAACTAAAGAAAGAACCAAGTTTTCTCCTGAGTCAAGTCCCTTGCTTTCCAGGGTCACTAAGCACCCAGGATAGCAGCTTATCAAGTGGGTATGAACCATAAGTGAAAGCTGCTTGAAGGTAAGCAGGCATTGGAATGAAGGGGAGAGTGGCTCTGGTTCTGTTTCTTGCTCAAAAGGTTTTGACAGGATCTTGAATCAATAGAATTGAGTTGCCTGTGATGGGGTGGCTGTGTCACCCTCCTGAGGGGTGCTGGTGTAGCCAGGAGAAGGGGCTGTGTGCAGGCTCCTCTGGAGCTGCAGTGAGAATCTGTGGGTTTCTATGTGAGGACATGACACTGGAAGTAGTAAACTTTAACAAGAACAAGTCTATGTACAGCTTAAAGAGTAAAATAGAACACTGGGGGCAGTTCCAGAGGTCAACAAGGGAACCTTGCTTAAGGGAATGAATATGCCCAGACAAGGTTTGCTCCTGGCTGGCAGGTCAGGGACTGACTGCTCAGCTGAGCTGTAGATACTCCAGATAGTCCAGAGCTAGCCCAGGACCCCTGAGACCACTCAGAAAAGAGAGATGCTAGTTAATATTCTTTTTCTTTTTACCTTTTTTTTTTTTTTTTCCTTTTTCTTTTCCTGGTGCTGGGAATTGAACCCAGGGATGCTCTACCACTGAGCCCACAATTTTTCTTTTGAGGCAGGGTCTTGTCAGGTTGTTCAGTCTGGCCTGGAACTTGGAATCCTCCTGCCTCAACCTCCCAAGTTTCTGGGATTTATAGGTGTGTACCACAAAGCCTGGCACTAATTAATTTTTGATAGACTTGAAGTGACTTTATGCTACAGAAACACAGATACAAAGTAATTGAAAATAACCATTATTTGGAAATTGATTACTTTTTTTTTTAACTCATGTAGGGGTTAATAGACTATCAGTAAATCTCAAGACATCTTAATCAACATAGAAAACTATCGTCTTGCTTGATTAAAATTTTGTTAGCTTTTGAGGAAACCTCAAAATAAACCCTCAGGTACTGTCATTATTGCAGGACCTTCTCACATTGTGGAAGTCAGAGGTGACTGGCATGCAAAGAAACAAATTTAATTCATGCATTACCTCTTAAGATTTTAATATTCCTCCTAATGTTTAGAAAGCATATCAAACTACAGAAGCATTGGAATGTTATTTTATAAAACAGTGACACCTGAGAAATCATATTTTTAAATCTCTCCTTCAAGGCCATCAAAATAGTCCTAGAAGTTAAACTGGCAATAACAAATCTTTCTCTTAAGAAAGAGAGGTATGCCTGCTTGCCCCATGCTTTCACTTGCCAGCTCCACCAGTAACTGCTGAAGCAGAGACACCGAAATGGCAGGGAACCCAAGGGAGGGAGGGCTACTGAGTTGGGGGTTCGGCCTGGCAGAACAGCTGATACACCCAAACTTGACCTAGACCTTGTTCCGGCAGAAAGGTTCAGATGATGGTGAGTAACAGAAGTTTGGGGTTTGGTTGTTTCCACTTCACAAAATGACAGTGACAACAAATACCCACCTACAGTGGAGTTTGGTTGACTCTGAAGATGATTGCTTCTCTTCTGGAACTGAATATTACTCTCACTTTCTCAGTCATTATTTGGTATTTGCATTTGGACTGTTTCTTACTCAAGCTCCTGATAGTCTGTTTTGAATTTTTGATTTGCCTACTCCCTTCTTGCCCTGTAGAAAACCAAATTACTGCTTCTCAGAGAATATGGAAACCATCAAACAGGAAAGATACACTTACTCTGCAGCATCCTTCTCCTTCCTTCTAATGTGTGGGGTTTTTTTTTTTTTTTTTAAAGAAGGCTTATATTTGAATGAACTCTTGCCTAGCACCTCCTTCTCTGCTTGCTTTTCCTTCATGTTTTCTTCCTTTTTTTTTAATTTGTTTTTTAGTTGTAGATGCTGAGGATCGAACACAGTACCTCACACTTGTTAGGCAAGTGCTTTACCACTGAGCTACAACCCCCAGCCCTGTTTTCTTCCCTTCAATGAGCTAAAGAGCAAAAATGTAAAAGCCATCAGGACTGGTATTGGGGGGTGGGCGTTTAAACAGGCACTGCACTGGAGTACATGCTCCATGGATTGGTATCATCAGTTTTCAGAAGGTACAGGTTGAGCATCCCTAATCTGAAACATTCCAAAATCTGGAAATTTTTGAGCATAGGTAAAATCTATGCAAATATTCCAAAATCTGCCAAACTCTGAAATCTGAAACACTTCTCTGGCTCTGGGCATTTTAGATAAGCAATACTGATTTTGGGAAAATGTGGAACCCCTTTCATCCAGAAAGCTCATGTCCTGGAGTATGTCTTCCACAGATTTTCACAAAGTATGCAGGGTAGATGTAGAAGGCCATTTATCCCCACACCAGAAAACAAACAAGGAGCTAATTTTAAATGGTAGAACATTTACAGCACAGTAGTATACAGATATTCAAGAGGACATGTGTTGACATGGAAAAATGTTGCTTGGGTATTTTTGAGCCCTTACTTTGTTAACAGAAAAAAAGGTATGTTGCAAACAGTAGACTTGCCAGTTCTTTTCCTTAATTTTCTTTTGTCAATTATTTGGTTGAAATTCATGCCCTACTTGTTTATTCAAGAGGAGTCCAAGGTACTTGTAGAAATATTTGGTTTCATACATTGCCTGTAGTTAGGTGAGTTTAGAATTATTCCATTACTCTTCTCTTTTTTTGTGCTGGGGATTGAACCTAGGGGTACTTAACCATGAGCCATATCCCCAGCCCTTTTATTTACTTATTTTTTATTTTGAGACAGGGTATCACTAAGTTGCTGAGGGCCATGCTAAGTTGCTGAGGCTGCCTTTGAACTTGCAGTCCTCCTGAGCTGCTGGGATTATAGGCATGTGCCACTGTGCCTGGTTTGCCCTTCTTTTTCTAAGCGTGTGTTTACCATTAATTTCTTTTACCTTCTGGGTCATACTGCTTTGTTAGATGGTTTACTTCTACTTGTTTTAAACAAGAAAGCATTGGTTCCACTCCCCCCCCCCTTCCTGGAGTACTGGGGATGGAACTCATTATACACACTAGGCAAGTGCTTCACCACTGAGATACATCCCCAGGCCTGGTCCCACATTTTTGCCAGACTCATTTCTGTTTACCTTCCTAAGCATCCCCTGTTTGTTTCTTCTCACCTGGATTTCTGAAGATCATTGGAAATTTTCTTGCAGACAATTTTTGGCGACTTCTCTGCCTCACTATACTGAGAACAAGTTGTTGTGCATGTCAGATACTCACATCCACTTCTGTCTCTCTCCAGGTTACCAACATCAAGAAGACACTTAAAGCCACTGCGTCCTCTTCAGCTCAGGAAATGGAGCAGCAACTTGCTGAGCGGGAGTGTCCCCCTCATGCTGAGCAGAGGCAGCCTACCAAGAAGATGTCCAAAGTGAAAGGTCTGGTCTCCAGCCGCCACTAGGACCGGCTGGGGCAGCTGGCACTCACCAGGCCTGGGTCAGGTGGGGAGGGGACACCAAGGGCCTATTTCCTCCCTTCTCTACCTACAGTGAGTTCCAGACCTGCCCATCCCCTCACCAGCGTCTCCCCACCCATTGGTACCGTTCCAGAAAAACCATTACTCCTTTCCCCACCCACTCCCTCATTCCTGTTGTTCCCTCAGACTCAGGGGCTCCGTGGATGCCATCCTAACAAGGTGGACACTGCCCGCTTCTCTCCAGGAGGTTCTTGTCTCTGTATGGGCTTGTCTCCCTGCCAGTTTTCTTTTGCTCCATGTCATTTTGTCAGGCTGGTCATAAGCCAAAGGCAGCTTTAACCAGCCCACAGGGATGACTGCGGAGAAGGCCCCTCTCTGGACAAGGAGGGGGCGTTCCTTCTCTAGCCCCATGTACCACAGTCCCCATGATGGTGCAGGCGCTCTCTAGCCAGGTACCCACATGCTTGTTTTCCCTCTCCTGCCTTATCCCTGTTGGCAGCTCCAGTTCAACCATGGAGGGATGTGATGCTGGGCTATGTTTACTAAACCTTCGGGTTTTCAGCCTCTTAAACCCAGCTTGGATCTCTCGTTATTTGGGAGTGCTAGACTGACTAACCTCTGGTATCTGAGCACAAACAGAGGGTGCTGTGGGTCTGCTGGTGGCAGAAGTGTTTCTCCTAGCTTGGTGTCTTCTGCTGGCCACTCTTCCTGCTGCCTCTGACTGCTCAGCTTTGTTTTGGTGTGTAGGCCCCAGCTGCTCTCTGGGGCTGTCTGCCAGCACTTGTTCTCCCAAGACCTTCCACACTTCTTGGCCGCCCCTGTGGCAGGGGTGGTGGTGTTGGGGCCCCTTAGTCTGGTGAAGGACTGTTGCTGCTGCTTCTCTTCCTTCCTTCCCCTCCTTGGCTGGTGATCCAGAGCCCTCTGATGACAGCATACTCCTGGCCAGAGAAAAGGACTTGACTAGACTTTCTGAACTTGAACAGTTTCAGGTTATATTTTAATTTTTTTTTTTTTTTGTACAGGTTAATTCTAATACATTTCAACATACTTTTTTCTCCCCTTGTGTCAATATTTGTTATAGACTAATCGCCGGGGATTTTTTTACCTGGTTGGAGGGTGGCATGTGTGTATGTGTGTGTGTATTGTTTTGTTTTTATAAAGGGAGGTGGAAGTCCTGGACTGATACTAAAGTTCATTGAGGAAAAAGCACATTTTAGAACAACAACAACAACAACAAAAATAAAAGTGTAGATTTGATGTATGTGCCTGGAGTGTGGGGTCCCATAGCTGGTAGATCTGGAGGGGTGGGGAGTCGGGTGGTTCAGGAAAATGAGATGCTACCATGGTTTAAAAATGGGTTTTTCCTTTTCCTAAAATGTTCAGCAGATGTTGCAGTATTCTCATGTCTCTTTCATGTTGGTATGTGTGCCCGAACGACACTGTGCCCAATGAGAGAGAGAAGTGTAATTCCCAAAGAGTCTTTCATGATTCCCTGGTCACATACTTGTGGAAAGGGGGTTCTATTATTAATAAACATGGCACTCCCTGCATCCCCTATCCTCATTGGAAATAATTGCTAAGGTCATAGAAAATTCCTGGGGGAGGAAGCCTATGCCTACACTCATGTCACCACCAGATCCTTCCAGGTCATAACTAGTGGGACACGTTGTGGGAAAGTTTAGGGAATCATTTTTCAAAAACCTTAATAGGGGCTTGTTTTGTACATCCTCCAGCCTCATAGGTTTTTCCAGTTATTCTTTTTAGACCCCAAACTTGCACACTCACTGTTGGCAAGCTACCTTTCATCCTTGTTTTTCCCATTGGTGAGTAGATCAAGAAACATGGTTTGACATGTGCCATGCTACAGAGCTGCTTACTTGAAGAGAAGATGGTGATAGTAATGACACATTAGTAAAGGACTTTACAAAGTGTCTTCCTGTATAGTGAGTTGCCTGCCTAATCTTCTGAGGTTGGTAAGGGTAAGTATTATTACAGTCATCCTCACTTTACATATGAAGCAGAAACTCAAAGGTTTAAAGTGCCCTGATGATAGGTGGTAAAACGAGGACTCCCAGATCCTGACTTGTGCTGACATTCTAGGTTAAGACTAACCTACAGTCTACTTTCCAGCTGACTGTACTCCCTCCCTGCTTATTTTTCTGAAGGCTTGTCTTGCTTTTAATGGACACCCCACCACACACATGCCTCAGCCTCTGCTTCCCAGACTCACCCAGCCACTTCATAAGGATGCAGAGAATATGGGGCAGAGGGTTCAGCTGTAAGGTCCATTGCTCCACTGGGACTTGAGTAAAGACCTTGCCTCCAAACCATGCAGTTTCTCACCTTGCACACTGCGACAGCTGAGCTTAGGACTGAGATGTGCAGATGTGCAACATTCAAAAGAGGTGTCCTCAACAGTGGAACATCTTAGGGAAGAAGATGCTGCCATATTAAACAGAATCAGCTCCATGGAAGTGCCTGGGGCTGGCCCAAGCCAGAGCTTTCTGCTTCCTGAAGCCCCTTTTCCTCTTTACTGTTTGTTCAGATAAGAGTCATTATTCATTATGGGCCCTACTTGTGTAATATTAGGGAGGTGGTCAAAGCCAATACAGGCTATTCTTATGTCCCAAATTGGAAGACACTGCCAATTCTCCTCTCCCCAAACTTGACTCCTCAAACTTTGAGTCAGGGGTTAATGGATGACCAAAGATACCAAGAGAGAACTGCTGTGGGCTGCATCTCTGAAGTGCCGGGTCGTGCAAACCCCACCAAGCATTCCAGTTCTTGTGTGTCAAGTTGCTCTAACAGCCTGAGACTTCAAGCACTTTTTTAGAAAAGTGGTAGTTGGTTGAATTTTACTGGTCCTGAAGGAACCATCACACTACTAATGGTATTTGATTGTCAAGGGTAGTACTCCTTCGGTAGTCTGGATGCACTTGTGGCCCTCTGGGGACTGTAGAGCCATGAGCATCTGACACCTTCAGAAAGTCTGTTCTTGTAGTTTCACCTGAGATGTGTGGATTGGAATACACATTATAAACCTCATACATCTCCTTTATGCTACCCTTGGGGCCTCTGATCTTTAAACTTACGTCTGCTAAGTAGGTTGTCACTGACTTGACCTTGGGACAATAAACATGGGTGCTGTTGATTATGAAAATGGAGTGTTAGGTCTAATGATTAGGGATAAGAATTGCTGTCCTTGGTTAAGGATGAAGTCCATAAGGAAAAGGTGAGGTGGCCACACTCTCCCTGGGGTTATTTGTGCCCATCCTTTCCTTATTTTCCCCTGCATTCCCTACTTCCCCCATCCCCCCACCCCCAGCTGTGAATCAGTTTGGTGACTTACCTTTCCTCCTTGCTGGAGGAGACCTCACAGCTGCAGACAGTACTGCTGTGGGCTGCTGTGGGCTTGCTCTCACCAGCCTTTGCTGGGAGGCATCCATTATGTGTCTCCAGTGAGCTTTCACTCTTTCCCCACAGCTGTCACTGTCTCTGACAGTGGCTTAGCCCATCACTCCTCTCACTGCAGTGAGGATTATACTTCCTTCATAGGAAAAAATAGAGAATATCAGGTGGGTCTCTCACAGTTTCTCGTCTCCATCCATCCTTATCTCTTGTTCTTCACAGTGGAAAAGACTCCTCCTTCCATGTGAGCACAGTTTATCCCCCTATGCCTCCGCCTCTTCATCCACTTCACCTTTTCTTCCCCAAGTCTTCACTCTTGCACCCTTAGCCTCTAGTGGCTGGATATGGTGAAGAATTTCACATCTTCAGGAGACCCTCTCTGAATATGATGTGTCTTTCCAGCCTCTAATGACCAAACTTTTTTCCTGTTCAGTGACCAAGATTCTTGAGACTTGTCTGTACTTTATCTCTGCTTCTGCCTCACTGGTACCTGGCCAACTCCAGATCATTTTCTTGCCCATTGACCTCCAGCTTGCTGAGTTGCTCAGCCTCCCTCTGGCTTGGTCTTTGGTTTGCAGAGGGACTGGTGAGCCCACTGCAGGTGTTCTTAGCTTTCCTGGCCCTAATCTCCTGAGTTTCCTGGGTTTCTCTGCCTATTCTAAAATTTCTTTAGGACACCTCTAAAGAAAGTCCAGTTGGGAATGTTTCCTAGGGTTACTCTGACCTTATTTTTCTTCTCCATGGCTTGTATGATTCATTCCCATAGCTCTAATTCCATTTATAACACCCAGATCTCCATCTTTGGCTCATTCTACCAACATGAATAGTTAGCATTTTTACTTGCCATCTTCTGGTCCTACCACGGTCAGTAAATGATGCCCATCATCCAAGATTATTAGTTTCTTATGGCTTACATAACAAATGTATTTTTCCACAGTTCTGGAGGCTGAAAGTCCAAGATTAGAGTGTTGGCAGCGTTGGCTTCTCCTGAGGCGCCTCCTCTTGGCCAGCAGGTGGTTGCTTTCTCTTTGGGTCCTCAAGTGGTCTTTTCTCTGTGCATACACATCCTTCATGTCTCTTTTAAAAGGATACTGGTCATATTAGATGTTCCCATCCATTTAGCTTTACCTCTTTAAAGGCTCTGGGTATAAATATAGCCACGTTTTGGGTTAGGCCTTCAACATGTGAGTATAGGGCAGAGTCCCAGCACATTCAGTCCAATACAATCATTTACCTGAGCTACAAGCTGGGATTCATCTTTAACTCCTGCCTGTCCCATCTCTTGATTCATCACATCCTGACCATTGTACTTTTATTATTTGAACCAATCCTTTTTCCATTTCCTCTGCTACCTCAAGCATTTGAGAACTCATTTATTTATTCAATATACTCTTCAGATACACATTATGTGCTAGGGATGTAACCAAAGAAATTTAAAATATTAAAAACAAGTAGATAGAAAGAAATGATAAAAGGCAAATGCAGAAATAAATGGGCAAAATCAAAATTATGAATCTAAAGATTTTGATACCATGAAAAAGAAGAAATACCTGTCAAACCTAATTAAAGAAGTGGTGGTGTACCTCAGTGGTAGAGTGCTTGCCTAGCATGAGCAAGGTCCTGGGTTCAGTCCCCAGCAACACAAAACTAAACAAAAAAACAGGAAAATAAATTTTAAAATGCATTACTGTTAGTCAATTTTAAGTTTAATGATAATGACAATTTTCTGGAAAGGTGAAATGATCATAATTTATTCATGAGAGACAAATTAAGAAGTGTTGCTATGGTTATGGCTCAGTGGTAGAACACTTGTCTAGCACATGTGAGGTATTGCGTTTGATCCTCAGCACCAAATAAGTAAAGGTATTGTGTCCTTCTACAGCTAAAAAAGGAAAAAAAAAAAGACTCCTGGCAAGGGGACACCGTCCAACAGGTCATGTATGGGTCCCACAGGAACTGCTGAAGCCACAGTCTAGACCAGAGTGGGTGGAAGGTGGCCACTGAGGTTTCCAAGAGCTATGGAGTGTGGAGTCCCACTCAGCTGTTGTCCAGACATAAACTAGTCTTTGCCAGAGACATTCTATCTTTGCCAGAAAATGTGCACCAGGGACTTAGCTTCCAGGGGGTGGGCCTATGCCAGTTTAGGCTTGTTCGGGCAGAGAGTCGCATGTGAGCACTTAGTACAGAGTGGTTGTGGGTAAACATGGGACGCTCACTTTCTCAGAACAATTCTCAAGGTGAGAACTGTTACAACTCCTGACCTGCTATTGAGGGAACAAGTCCTGGCTTGCTGTTTGGTAGAGCTGGGACTCAGATCTGAGAGTGATGCAGGTTCAGCCCCTGACCACTCTCCTGTGGGATTTGAAGTTCAGGCACTGCTTTGCCTCTGGGATACTGGGACTGGCAGGGATCAAGCCCACGTTCAGGGCCCAGGACTGGATGTGGGTGGGCAGCAGAGGAGCTGTCAGCTCAGCCAGTCTATTCATACTTTGCTCTGTTCTCAACTTTCCATGCAGTAATTTTAAAATGTCTCTTGGGCACTCCTACCACGGAAAGTGTAGTCAGATTTCCCTCACCTTGCTTGTGTAGGGGTCAGCCTCAGTGAGGTCATTTTATTTTTTTAATACTGGGGATTAAACCCAGGGGTGCTTTACCACTGAACTACATCCCCAGCCCTTTATTTATTTATTTATTAGTTTGAGGTGGAAACAATATCTTTATTTCATTTTTATGTGGTGTTGAGGATGGAACCCAGTGCCTCGCATATGCCAGGTAGCTCAAGGCGCTACCACTTGAGCCCACATCCCCAGCCCGCCCTTTTTATTTATTGAGATAGGTCCTTACTAAGTGCTGAGGCTGACCTGGAATTTGGGATTCTCCTGCCTCAGCCTCCTGAGTCACTGGGATTACACTGCCCCTGACTCAGTGAC